TGCGAGCCTTCTTCAAAATAACCAAAAAACATTAATTTCTTTATTTTGTTCCTGTTCTTATATTGTAGAATTTCACTACAGTCATGTACTTTGGTGCATGCTGACTGATTTAACACTGATTTTCGTTGAAAAACCAACTTAGTTGCCTTTAATATAGTGACAATGTGGTTTCTCTTTCACGTAGATCCCGGAGTAGTCAATCGATAAAAATCGAATCGATAAATCGATAAAAATCAAAGCCAGCAGATTTGATTGTATCTAACAATCGATAAAAATCGAACTCACACAAAAAATTAATATCGATTTTTATCGATTGATTGATTTAGATAGAGTGTTAATCATTTGGCAATGTAACGCACTGTAAATCAGGCCAATAGACATTATAGAGCTCAGATTATTTTGTGTGTCAGGTGCACACAGCGCAACTGTTTAAGTTGCCATAATAATTGAGTTAGATACATAGAGTCAATTTCGTATGAGTGGGAAACGTACGGTAGAAATTACCGCACAGTTACCGCGGACCTGGCCTGCACAATTTTTAGTTAGCGTTAGTCATTTCGCAATGTAACGCGCTATAAATCAGGTCAATAGTGCAGTCATTATTTCGTTTTTCAATTTTAAGTATGAATAAAGTGTGATTTGAGATGTTCTTATCATTGCAGCCGTTCGACGGCTGCTATAAAAWGCACGCGATTGGGAAAACAAAAATCTCTAGGCCAACTAAAATTGCAGAGAAAAAAGCAGGGGAAACTCAGTAGTATTCAAAATATTTTGATGTTTTACTWCGAGGCTTTTATTAGTGCGTTGTAACCCATGAATCCCGTACAATATATTTAACCTGAGTATCAGACCTTAGWGGGCGTTAGAGACTGATCTTGGCCGAACGGCACAGACAACGTACTTCACGAGATCTCACTATTTGGAAGTGATCCCATGAGCTAAAAACATTTGAATTTAGAAAGTAGAATTATCACAGCTAATTTAGGCTAAAGTTCACATCTCAGCACTAGACTTGCTTTCGAAACAAAATATACCGTATTTACCCATGTATAAGCCGCTCTCGTAGATAAGCCRCACCCCGAGTTTTAGGAACGTTTTTGAGGAAACAACAGACGGAAAATAAACTTTTCTCTTTTTGAGYGAACACAGCTTTCTTTGATTTTAAAGTGCTGTTCCGCTGCTCGATTTCCGGGATCCATGCATTTCGTATGCAATTACAATCAGTTTATTTAACGTGCGGTGTATGATGATGTTGGAGACATAATTGTTAAGATTGATAAGTTGTTTTTAGGTAAAAGCAAACTAGTAAGTAACTTATTTGTTCAATATAAGGAACACTTTCTTAGGCTTATTTCTTGGGTATTCAAAATATTTACCCTGGATGACAAACTCACTTCAAATGAGCAATACAAATTAGCATCGCGTTACMAAAACAACTCCAAGGCAAAACAATTTAAAATGCTCTCTGTTCATAATTGGCTCGATAACCACGCACTTTTCAGTTTAATTTATTAACTTGTGTTTCTCAGAGCTAGATTTTCGGAGAATTTATAGTAATACTGAGAAGTTTGGAGTACAATTTCTGTTCCCGCTGTGTAAAACAAATTTATCACATTATTGATGTCTTGTCTGCTGTAAGTAGCACCGTGAATGCTAATTTATGCAAATTAGTTAGTCTTCTTGAAGATAAGCCACACCCCCGCTTTGGGAACAATTTTTTTGGAAAAAAGTGCTGCTTATACATGGGTAAATACGGTATTACTTTGCAGCAAAAAATAATTGTACTCAGTTGATCTCCATTCACTTTGTACAGGTACTTGGACCGTGTATTTCGATTACTGAAATGTCTAAGTCGAGATTTAAAACAAAAATGTCTGTTAATTTGCTATTTTGAAAGAGGCTCCCAAAAAAGGCTCGCAGGCTCGCACATAAAGGCTCGCGGCTCACAGGCTTGCACATAAAGGCTCGGGCTCACAGGCTCGCACTTTAGTTACACTTTGAAAATACAGTTGCCATAGATATCTTGGCCATATACTTGTACAATGCCTTGGGCAAATCAATATTAGTAAGGCCACAGGAAATGCAGTCATAGGTGTGCGTGTGCGTCAAACCGCCTGCATCGTCCAAGACTAACGGCTAACACCTTGGACTGGAACTAAAACTTGAAATCTGGCCGTCCAGTCCTCATTGTCGGACTTAAACATTACGTAGCTCGCTCACTTTTATTTCCCATGTTTACCCGAAGTAATTAATCGATGAAACCGATGATCGATAAAATAGATATTAATCGATATTAGTCAATGCTAATTAATCGATTAATATTGGAAATCGATGACTAATCGATGAGAAAGAAATCTGTGATCTTTTATCCATTTGTAATTGATAGTTAAAACTACCATCAATTAATATCGATTAACATCGATTACATTGATTTATAATAAAGCTGATTCGTTCATTTTTGTCGTACAAATTGATGTGAAATAACTTTACGATTATCATTTAATTTTAACGGTAACAATCAGATTTTATATCTATAACAGTCGCATCTATTTTCAAAAATTTCCGGACACAAATCTATGACTTCACTCCCYATGGCCTAAGCTCAAATGACAGATCAATTCATGTGGCAATTTTGTGGTCTTATAGGTATGGGTTCATTATTGCTGTCACAACCATTGATAATATAGGTGTAGGACATATACAACCTGGTAGAGGTTTTGTTGTTTATCCAGTTAAATACAAGGTCAGTTCAGTCTMTTTCCAGATTTTTCTGTCAACTACAGTACAAGAGTTTGTAGCATGTGTATAAGTAATATTGTATATGTTGTGGTTTGAAATGTGCCTTGGTTTGAAATTTTTTAAACCGGTTTAAAGTTTTAGGTGTAGGGTTAATATTGGGGAAGGCTATAATTCAAGTACCTCAAGGGGCCCTCACACTATGTATGTGAAAAACACCAGATACCTCCTTTCCCTCCTTAGATATTTTATTAATAGTGACTGTTNAATATCCACCTTCAAAGATATAAAACAAACAACAGCATTGATTAAGAATTGAAGGGTAAATATAGTACTAGTATCCCCTGTAAGCGAAGGAATGACCTGGAACATCCGGTTTTTGAATGCATGTGGCTCTGGCTTCGACCTCATCGCTTACCGCGTCCACTCTCAGGGATTATATGCGGGATTGTGTATTTTCCAGAGGCCAACGCACAAGAAAATGAAGATAGGGTCTCATACATTATCGAAACTCTAGACTCTGTTAGGCTCGCACACCCCGACTGTGGTGTCATTGTTCTTGGAGACTTTAATAGCCTGGYCCCAAAAAATATTCTTAACCATCACAACCTTAAACAASTAGTACGTGATCCAACGCRGCTGGACAGCATCCTAGACCTGATCTTAACTGACCTGCACAAACACTATGATAAACCAGTCGTTAGCGCTAATTTGGGTACCTMSGATCACAACTCAGTTTACTGGCGAYCAAAATCATCCTGCACAATCTCGACTCCTGTCAAAAAGGCCCAGAAACAYAKCATACGTCGGTTCCCAGATTCTTCAATAAATGCTTTTGGGAGATGGGTTTCAAACCATGAATGGTTTCCTGATAATACGCCTTCTGTTAACAGCATGGCAGAGTCTTTTAATAATGATCTAAAGGTGGCAATCGACACGTTTTTTCCTCTGAAGTCGGTGAGACTCCATCCAACTGACAGACCCTGGATAACGTCACGCATCAAACAGCTTATTCTTGAAAGGCAACRTGCTTTCCACTCTGACAAAGATGGCATATGGAGAGAGCTGCGCACTAAAGTACGGGACGAGATTGCCGCCAGGAAAACCGCCTTTTATACAGAAAAAGTTAGCCACCTAAAAGCAACAGATCCACGAAAATGGTGGAGCCTGGTGAACAAACTTTCAGGCAAATGTAGTGACACAAAAGTTATCAGCTATGAAGTCAATGGCAAACTTTTCTCAGGAACTGAGTTGGCGAACAGACTGAATGAGTTCTTCATCTCAGTGACATCTGATGTTCCAGCCCTGGATTTTGAATCTCTACCTGCTTTCCTACCTGCACCTGACGAGCTACCTACCATCAAACCAGATGAAGTCTATAAAAAGCTGTGCTCTCTAAATCCATTTAAAGCGTGCGGACCTGATGAAATTCCAAATCGAGTCCTAAAGACCTTTGCTTTTGAGCTAGCTGTGCCGGTGACCCACATCTTTAACCAGTCCATCTCTTCCGGCGTTTTCCCTACAGTGTGGAAGGATGCCTATATCTCACCTATACCCAAGACATCGGTCGTTACTTCCGACAGCGATCTACGCCCCATAGCTCTAACAGCATGTCTATCTAAATTGCTAGAGGACTTCGTTGTTGGTTGGCTAATGAACGATATCAAAGACTTCATTGACCCAAAAGCAGTTTGGTTCTTTGAAAGGACGATCCACCACATTTTGTCTATTGGACATGATCCACAACTGGCTTTCATCATTGGATTCGCCAGGAACGTATCTTAGGGTATGTTTCCTTGACTTTTCTAAGGCGTTTGACCATATAGACCACACTATTCTTGTACGAAAGCTCCTGGGTATGGGCGCAAGAACTAGCATCATAAGATGGGTGTGTAGCTTCCTGTCACTGAGAAGACAAGCTGTGAAGCTCAACGGTGTACTTTCCAAGTGGGCCCAAGTGCATGCTGGTGTTCCACAGGGAACAAAACTGAGACCAATCCTATTCCTCATCATGGTTAATGACTTAGCTCAAAGATCTCCCCTAAAATCAAGTCATTGGAAATACGTGGATGATATCACATTGTCTGAAGTAGTCTCCAACAACACCCAATCTGT